GCTCTCTCTTTTAACTAAATTTACTTGAGTAGGTCCTCTGGATGGTTCTTCTTTAGTGAAATGTTTCGTCTCTCCTCCCAAGAGACTTCTTCAGTCTGAGGAGTTTCAGGTGAACTCAGCCTTATAAGCACTGCCTCCACATGGTGGACAAACAGCTTAGTTACATGTGAAAGAGGGCCATCGCCTAACAATAGGCTTGATTGGCTCTATTGTTCATAGAGGGTCATTTGCCCCATCACCTGTCTTATTGGTTTGGATACTGTGGTTCTTAGGTGTTTTATGTTTATGTAGTGAATGCAGGCGGGGTTCAATGTCCCCTTGTTTTTGTCTCTCTTTCCCTCTTTGTGTTGTTGGGGCCCTGATTCACACCATTTGCTCACAGGGGGCTGAGTCATATTTAAATATCTTATCCAGAGGACCTACTTATTTTTTTCTTTTTGATTTTTTCTACCTGGATTACTGAGATGCATCAGGACCTTCTGGACAAAAGTCAGCGTTAGAAACTTCCCTTTCAAACTTCTTAGTTTCAGAATAAAATGTTACAGCACACAACCATTGTACATATACAGTATAAACCACCATAGAGCTAATCAAGCCTATTGTTAGGCGATGGCCCTCTTTTGCATGTGACTAACCCGTTTGTCCATGTGGAGGCAGTGCTTTTAAGGCTGAGTTCACCTGAAACTCATCAGATTGAAGAAGTCTCTTGGATGAGAGGCGGAATGTTTCACTGAAGAAGAACCCATCCAGAGGACCTACTTATTTTTTTTCTTTTTGATATATAAACCACATTGACACAGTTCTCTAAAACAACTTGAGATATGTCTATACAACATTTTAGATGTTGACCCTGAGGGTGAACAACTCCCAGGTGCCAGTGAGCCAACTAACTTACATCATCAATCGGTGGATCAGTGAGTTATAATTATTCTGGTGACATCAATTAAACTCTATTTTTACAATCCATAGTCAGAAGTGAAGAGGACTTTCAGATTAGAGATGTTTTCAATGAGATAATAAATGTATTTTTTTTTTGTTTTGTTATTATTTTTTATCTTAGATTTTTGTGGTCTGGAAGAGGAAGACCTGATGATAAAACACAAAAAAAAAGATAATATTGATCCAAACTAAACTGCTCTCAGGTGATCCACCTTCCAGGATTATCATTTCTGTGAAATTTTGAGTCTGTCTTATTTTGTTTTTGTTTTTGTTTATTTTGCTTTTTTATTTTATTTATTTATTTTTTGTCAGTTGGCACTCAGCTGTTTCAGCTTCATGTCGTTGCAGGTTAAACTGTAAGCAGGATAGGTAAAGTCTTTTGCAGATGACAAGTTGTTCTGCAGACCCCTCTACATCAGAAGCCTCCAGATGTCTTTATTTGCTGAGGCTTCCTAGGTACTGCAGCTGTGTCAGTGTTGGTGGCTTTGACGTCTTACTTGCAGATGTCCTTGTGTGTCTAACTGTGTTTTTACCTCTATAGAAAACTCTCTTTAGGGAACATATTCCATGCTCTACACATGAGCAAATGAACAGGATCTTTGCTCAGGACAGATTATATTTGTTAGACACTTTGTCTTTGCAGGAAATGCATAGTATTAGACAAAGGCAGCACATATGGAGGACATGAAGCTGTCTTTGCTGGTGAGCCTTAAGTATCCACGTCTCATTGGTATATAGGAGTGAGCTCACCACATAAACCTTGTACACCTGAGATGTTATGATAGTGATGGACAAGTCCCAGGATGTTAAAACAAATCAAACTACCGCAAAGCAGTAGAATATATGACTCCTGCATACAGTATGCTGTACGCAAAGCACATATGCACCAGAACTAAGAAGTCATGCGAACGGATTTATTGTTTTGCAAGGGGGTCCAGAAGGGGTGGGGGGCACTCACTGATGGGCCTGATGGATGGGCCTTCATCAGAGCTAAACAACAAAAAAAATCTGAAGCTCCTCTGTTCCTAAGCTCTCAAGTTTTTGAGTTATAGATGGAGCTCCCTCCTGAAATATCAGAAAACCACTGGCTGGCGAAGTGTAGGTCAGACACTTCTACATTCCTGCCAAATTACACACTGATCAGTTCCATCCTATGGTTGACAAAAATCGTTAAAAAATAAACAGTACAAAAACAATATGAACCCTGCTTTTCATGCAGGGGTAATAAATAAAATATAAATACTGCTAACGCACAGCTTTTAAACATTTTTTGAACTGTTTTTTTTCTTGGTTTGTTTTATTTAATTTATTTATTTAATTTTAAACTCATCTTTGGTCCAACTTGGGATAACTTTCAAAACCGAAAAGACAAAAATTTATAGGTAAAATAAGTATTGAACACGTCAACATTTTTCTAGGTAAATATATTACTAGAGGTGCTAATGACATGAAATTTTCACCAGATGT